GCGGCCGCAGCGGGAGCAGCGTGTGACGTGTGGCTCAGGCCGCATGTGGAGCCCGGAACAGCCCCGAACAGGCAAATCAATCGATAGCCGACGAATCGACGATCGAAAACGTTGCCAACGTTTTTAATCGACTAAATCGATTAACTGTTGCAGCTCTAAAGATAACCCTCTCCCCCCCTCCAGGCATTTATAGTCACACTCGCCCTACCTTTTAGGTTTGAGGGAGCACCTCTCTCGTGTCATTGTGCTTGGACTTGAGCAGCCAATTACCAGTCCAAACAATATCACCGGGTAGGGCCTGTGAAGTCAGGGCTTACAATCTAAATGGAGGGTCAGAGCAGGTTGGGGTGCTGCAGTGAGAAAGTGGCCAGGTAGTTTGGCTTGGTAAATAGGCAAGCCCCTGGTTTTTATATTTGCAGTTAATGTCACTAAGTGATAGTGTTTCTTGAACAACTAGTGTGTAATATAGGTTGTTATTCAAGACTCTGCTCCTTGAGAAATAAATCGTTGCCATCACCTCTGCCCAGTGAACAGGGAGGTCATACAGGTAGTAGTGAAACTGAACCAGGAAATTAGACAGTCATCTTCCTGTGTGTCTAATGTCACAGACGTGTTTGAATCAGGAGACTGGCTGAACAGAATCTGAGCTGAATAATAGCTGAATAGAAATGTTCTGCAGGATTAAACATGAAACCATATATCTACATAGGGATGTGTGTTTTCTATTTTGGAACACCACTTTTCTCCATTAAGGACTTTATGTTCAGCAGATGTAAGGGACCTAGTGCAGCAAACAATATTGTAGTTATTATATTTTTTATATTACTATGTATTAAGGAAAGAAAAAGGAATCTAAATAATGGTAGTAGATGTTGCCGATTTAGTCAGCACACTAAGTCATGACATCAGAGTATGCAGTGCTTTCTCTCCTGAATATGGAATATAGTATAAGCATGTGTTGTGATTATAGCCATTAATCTCTCCCTTAGAATGTGAACACCTCATCCGACATATGCTGATTTTGGAGCCCAGTAGGCGTCTGACGATGGAGCAGATCTGTAAACACAAGTGGATGTGTCTGGGTGAGCAGGATCTGGAGTTTGAGAGGGTGAGTTGGTTCTACAAAGGCCAGCCTTCATTTACTACACTACCAGCAGACTAACGTCTTCTTCAAGCTCCTGATGTTTGTCACCGTTTTCTATTCATTTCTCTTCTTGTGTCTCACTTTCCAGTTAATAGCAGAATGCCAGCATGTGAAGATGGAGAGGCAGAGGGAGCCTATAAATGAGCAAATTATAATTACTATGGTGGAAATGGGCTTAGACAAGGACCGCACTTTACAGGTGACTTCTGTGATTGAATGTGTCAGTTATCTGTTGTCCTTTGTGATTCAATGTCCTGAATAGTTTCCATGTTTGTTTCTGTCTTCTCTAATAGTTTGAATTTGTGTATGAATATTAGGACGTGGTTAAATCTCTTGCCTGTTTTTCTCCATCTGTGTCCCATTTAGGAGATTCACAATACTTCCTGTTCTGTAGACATTGTACAGTGTATACACCTAATTTTGGGGGGGGAAAATTGTGCTTTGCAGCAAACAGTGACCTTGGATAAAAATGTTGGGTACTCTAAGGCCGCCTTCATCCAATCCCCACAATTCCAGTGTGATTGCATAAACATAAATTGAAAAGAAAAGGCACCTCTAACAATATTGGCCTTTAAGTGAACCTTTACCCCCATTCACTATAAATCACATCAGCATGCAGCTCTGCATACTGATAGGAAATCATCTTACATTCATTAGTTAAACATATTATTTTTATTTTAACTACAATTACTGTTTCCACTTCCTGCTCCTCTTGGGCATTAGTGATGTAATCTGTGCCCAAGGGATGCACATCTGTAGATCATTGCTGGGAAATCTCATCTGTAATCTCACAAGATCTGAGGGAAAGGCATTTTCCTCCCCTGAGATGATGTGCATGGTCACATGTCCTAGTCACATGTGCCGCAGTTCAAGGAAGTAAAGGGAGATATATTAATCTGCCCTTAGTAAAAATGGCCACTGTGAGAAGAATGGGGAGGAAGAGAAAATTAAGATATAAAAAGCTGGCAATTATCTAGAAGTAACTGTTTGTAGATTGTCATTACTAAACATTTCTAAAGGTGCCTTAGTATATCATGACTTTAGTGCTTATTTTATCTATGCCATCCGTTTCCTCCTTCCTTTGGAGACCTTCCTTGAAATCTTAGCAGATGCTGCTCTGCTGCTGATACAGGCACTCACTGATTATTCTCCTGACTCTGATTGATATACCTAGGAGTCTTAGATACTTTCATAATTGTTAAAGCCCTGATGAAGGGGCGATTTTTCAGCCTTCAAAACGTTGCTTGCCTTTTGTTCTCCTGTTGTCACTTACGTAACAAATAAAATACTTTTAAACTCTCTATGTTTGGCACTCCTTTCGGCTCAGCCATAAAAGCCTGACAGGAGTTCTAACCCCTCAATAGCTAAAATATTTTTTTTAAAAGAAGCTTTAGCTTTAGATACATTTCAGTGTTTTTCTATTGAGTGTGCTTTGAACTCTATAACCTTTCTTTGTTTTACCCCCATCAGTCTTTGAGGACCGATGCATATGACAACTACAGTGCTATCTACAGTTTGCTGTGTGAACGTTTAAAAAGACATAAAACTCTTCGCCTCCCAAATCCACCAAGTGCACCTCGCACTGTGGCATACCCTGCTTCACCTTTGCAGGTGAGTCCCCTGCATAGCTTATCTGTCATAATAACAAGAGTGTGAAAGTGATTTTCTAAGTATAATATATTTTTGTCATAGGGGGATACAGGTGGCAGTGCCGTCAGTATGAATGTGCCTCAAGTCCAGCTCATCAATCCTGAGAACCAAATTGTGGAGGTAAGCAGAATTATTAGTCTTTCAATAGCAAGATTTAGAATTGTAATGTCTTCATTATGGGTAAGATCACAATTCATAACATGAATGTAATGAGTGCAGAAACTTTGCACTTACCGTTCATATGGAGGACATTTAAACTAGAGCTGATGATAAGCTATGGAGCTGTTCGCACCTGAGTGCTGGTGCTGGGTGCGTTCATAGGTGTGACCTAAACTTTTCACCACAACAAACCTGGACTTTTGCTCTTTATTGGACATGCAGCAAAATGTTCAGAACTAGCCCAAAATGTCACCTTTCCCTTAGATTTGATATTTGCCTCACAAGGCAGCAAAATATTTTGTGGACTTAAAAATATTTCTCTTTACACATTTTCCTTTAAGTGATGGTTTTGTAGAAGTCAGAAGAACTGTAGATACATGAATGCTGTGTCTTTGTAAGGATTCTGTAGATGGCGGTCCCAGTAGCAGGGTTAACAACCTTTTTGTTTAATTGACCTATCTCGGGTCCTAAAGTTTTCCCCTAAAGCAGACCTTGCAGTAAAAGCGGGCCACCTACAGCACCCCAACACCCCAGTAAAAATCACTGAACAACAGTAGTGGAAAAAGGGTCCTGTGTATAATCTTTTTTTTTTCCTTCCAAGTATGTTTTTCAACTGCTATCATGCTGTTATTTTAACAGTAGGGGGTGGCCCACATCTACTATGTGAACATTTTACTTGAAAGCTTGCTTTAAAGTATATGTATATCCCAATATTTTTTTAGTATTGGATAGAGTAGGAAAGGTAAAAAACCCCTGAAGTGTTAATGGAAATTTCCCTTCATTTTCTATCCCAGAGACCCAAAAGGAAGTTGGAGGAAAGCTCTCAAAGTGAGGGGAATCCCCCTCTTAAGAGTGTTCCCATTGGGCGATATCCCCTGAACCCCTTTTCTGGAAATAGCTCTAAAATGTTGGATTTCCCCTCATTCTATTTATACTGGTGACACTAGTCACCAGTATAAATTGAGGGGACACAAATATGGGGGCTTCAACTGCTGACCTATTTGTGAAGATGCTAGTTGCCTAACTGTTGATTCTGACCCATTGGCTTCAATGCTTTTTTAGTTTTTAGCCCAGAACCAGTTTACATATCAAAGTCGATAGAGAGTCAGAACACTTTATGTGCATACATGTTTCAGGTCAGTAGTTCAAAGTACTGAAGCAAGAGGGTCAAAATGACCCCCATGTTTCTCTCATGACAGGTTTCCTTTAGTGGTTGTATACTTATACAGTGCAGCACAACTCTCTTCTGTACTTTCTGCTACATTGAATGATGTGATGTATTAACCCCTCTGTTTTTTCTGTTCCATTTTAGACAAATGGCACCATGAATCTGGACAGTGATGAAGGAGAAGAACCTTCACCAGAGGCATTGGCTCGATATTTGTCAATGAGGCGACACACAGTTGGGGTTCCAGATACACAGTTAGTGACATTCATACTTAAATGCAAGTGTGGACACTTGGCCGCAGTTGCATCCTCTTTTTTCTGCACCCCAGTGTTTCTTTTAAGTATAGATTGCTAGACTTTTTTCTTATTTTGTATACTTTCACATGAATGTTGCTTGAAGTTTGAGACTTGATCGTTTCTTAGTTATTTTGTTTTAGTTATTAGCACGTCATAGCACGTCAAGCAAAGTGTTTATATACAGTGTTTTTATTCAATATGAAATATTTTCCAGCAGTGAGGGGGGAGCAGAGGACCTACAGAAGATCATTCCTGGATTCCCACGGGTCACTCCGCAGACACCATTCCTTCCAGTGACACAAAACGCAAATACTCTTCATCCACTGTTGCCAATGCAGAACATGCCTCCCAGTGGTCACATTGAATACAAGGTACATAAATATAACATAAGCCGTTCATGGAGAGAATCTGGAGCAAGACATGTTACATATACCACCTAAGACTTAAAGGGAATCTGTCAAGCTTTTAAAAAATATTTTTAATTTTAAAATCGAAAACCCTGCTGAAGAGTGGGCACCATGTGGTACCTGTTAACTTTATCAACCTACAAACTATGTTCTAAATACTCCTCATATGTACAGACGTTTTGTTTATCAAGAAAGGGCGCGCGCGAGCGGGAAATGGCCGCAATTTAAAAACGGGCAGCGATGCCCGTTAATATACATGCGATCCGCCGGCTGTAAAGCCGGCGGATCGCTTGTATTTAGCAACGATCGGTGCGGCCCCCCCCCCTCCCTAAAAAGGGTTGATGGCAGACAATGTCATTAACAAAGGCAAGGTCAGTGCAGGAGGTTTCAAGTGAGGTCAGGCCATGCAGGTGGTTAAGTCCAGGGAGTTTCGCATGTCAGGGATTGCAGGCATGGTAGGTAACGGGTTAGAACTAGGCTTGAATATGGCATGAAAGCAAACTGGGAGAGTACAGGGAGTGGAACTTGAAATACTTCAAGAAAAGGATGACAAGAGTAAGGACTGAAACTGAGCCAAGGATGCAGGATACAAGTTATCAGGATCATGCCCTTCAAAGGATAGCAATGCCATTTTAAAGTAGCAAAAAAGCAATTAGGTGACATGCTCTCAGCCACACCCGTGCATGTGCGCAGCCCAACTGAACAGATGATAGGACAGGTGCACGTGTGCCAGAACACAGGTAAGAAACTTGTGCAGTGGGCCATTCATTAAACAGGCAGGAGGACCCTGACAGCAGCAAATGCAACAGAGTGTCCTCAGAGAGATATCGCATCTTTATTTACCTTATTGTGAAGTAACCTTCCTATTCCATTGATAATTATATCACTGGTCCCTTATTTCATTAGTCAATACATACTATGAGTGATTTAAAGAACCGTAACTATAAACAAGAGCTGTCTTTTGGTGGGATTGCACATAAATGCTCCCTGAGTGAACAACCACAGCCCAGTTACATCAGCTTGTTGCAGTAGAGTGTTGAGTGGTTTATAAGGAGTGATTTCTGCATTGATAAGATTGCAAAGATCACTTTAGTGCTGCTGCCCTCCAGCACCTGCTACAGCTTTATAGCCTTTGTTGTCCTTGCTTTGCCATTGTAGTTTTTCAGCCATGTGGTTCACGGTGCTTAAACAGCCAAGAGGTCAAATCAGGTCTGACTATTCAGATGCTATGTCAAGCTTTTATTTCTTTCTGATGTAATACTTTTCTGATTTTAATTTCTAAGAATCTCATTGGAGAGAGAAAACAGATTGTATTTTTATTATACAGGAACAGTCTCTGTTGCAGCCTCCAACTCTTCAACTTTTAAATGGCATGGGGCCTCTAGGGCGCAGAGCATCTGATGGAGGGGCGAACATCCAGTTACATGCACAACAACTCTTGAAGAGGCCGCGTGGACCATCCCCACTTGTCACAATGACAACTGTGAGTGCTCGATGGTTGATTTCTCTCTGTTGTTGGATAGATAAATGTAAAATATGCATACAGATACAAAAATAAATGACGTAAATGCTGGTGTAGCCTAGAGGTTTGATTGCTGGTTTGTTTACTGTGCTACAGTCATTCACATTTATTACTCCTATTGAAGATACAGCAGACAGAACTAGGGATGTCCCGATGCCACTTTAAGATCAAGTACAAGTACTTCCCCTCATGTACTTGCCGATACCAATTACCGATACTTTTTCTATGGGGCCCTGTGATTTCTAGTTACGCCCCTGATAACATGATTAGGTTAATCATGATCCATAGTACAGTACAGTCCATAGTACAGTACTATCTGATTGGATAACACATTTTATAGGAACTCTCTATAGCATCACACCTCCAAACAGAATCTAGCAGTTCGGTGGCTCAGAAGTATTGCCTTTAAGTTTATTCTATTAACAAGCTTTCCTAGTTCAGACAGTATTTGTAAAAGGTTGACAGAGGTGCTATGGCAGTATAGTAAGTCATGATGTGGGTATGAAATGCAATCATAGTATATGGCAATAAAACTTTAAAATGTTAAACTAATACTCTATATGAAGTACACACTATAGTACACACACTATTAGTTTAAATCATGATCTATAGTACATACATAATATGTAGACTATTAATGGTGTGTGTACATATTATGTATGTACTATAGATCATGATTTAAACTAATAGTGTGTGTACTATAGTGTGTACTTCATATAGAGTATTAGTTTAAAATCATGATCCATAGATAGTAACATGATCTATCCGATTCCAAACATGATTTGAACACAGGCCCTTACTTTATTTTATTTTTTTAAATCAAACCATTAAATAGTCAAGAACTGTGAACATGAGGTGCATTGAGCTGCATGAACCTTCATACAATCTGGTTCAGCCCTGGTGCTGACACTAAAACACTTTTACAGCAACATGGATTGTAATAAACATTTGAACTCTTGTAGAACACTGGAGGAAAGTCAATACATTGCCCGAGCCAACCAATCCAGTTCTAGTTGTCCTTATTGCATCACTGGGTAGAACGGAATGATGCGACTATTGGCTGCAATGGGCAACAAATCTTTTCTTCTTCCTTCAGATCTGATGCATGAGTTACAGCTGATAAAGGTTTAAGGTAACCATGGACAAGAGAAAGTCATCAACTGATCAGGATAACAATCTCAAGTTCACAGAAAGAATCAGCCATTCTTGGACCCAGAATAAAGGGAAATAACCATGAGAGGTGTCCCCTAGTGCCAAAATAAGTGGTGTCACAGCTGTCTACCCTTCTCATTCACCTAACATGCACAAATGGACAAGCTGGGTGTCTTGTTAACACAGGCCCTTACTTGATG